AGAGAGAAAGAGAATATGAGAATCCTTCCAGGGCAGGCCAAAGCTTCATGGAGGCAGTGCTGGGCCTTGAAAGATGGGTCAGGTATCTCTATGACAGTTGATTCTAGTAAAAATCAAATTCCAGGGAATTGATCAGATGTGGTGGGGCATGGTGACTGTCTAAGCACGCATTTGCTAATTAGGCCTGTGTCCTCTCTGCAGCACTGGGCCGGAGCACTAGCTTCACGAGGAAGGATCTGAAGGAGGCCAAGGCACGGAGCCAGCAGATTGCAGCCCAGCTGACCACCCCTCCCAGCTCCAACTCCCGAGGAGTCCAGCTCTTCAACAGGCGCCGGCAGAGGGTGAACGAGTTCACCTTGGAGAGCCGTGGCCAGAGGCCACCAAAGCCCAGTCAAGAGGCCTTCCAAGCAGGGCACTCTGCAAGCCCCATACACCATGCCTCAGGGCTCATCCTGAGTTCTATATCCCCATCCAAGCTAGGGCCTCCAAAGCACCCCAGCCCCCAGAACCCTACCAGAGGGGTTCCTGGCCACAGCATGGAGGGGTACTCAGAGGAAGCCAGTCTGCTGCAGCACCTGGAGAAGGCTGCTAGCGAGGAAGAAGAGGTACCACTGGTGGTTTACCTGAAGGAGAATGCAGCTCTTCTGACAGCAAATGGGCTCCACCTATCCCAGAGCCGAGAGGCTCAGCAGTCCCCATCAAGCCCTCTGACAACTGAGGTGCACAGTCCAGCTACAGATGTCAACCAGAACCTTTCCTCATCCAGTGCCATCATCACATCAACCTCCAGTAGCCACCACAACCAACCCACCACTGATGTCAATCAGAATCCTCCAGCCACTGTTGCCCCCGTCCAACAGAATTCATCTGAGGCACAGTGTCCTCCCAATGGCACAACACCTGACTCCAAACCCAACACCCCATGTGCTGATGGGCAACTCCAGGTGTCAGCAGAGGAGGTGAGGTCCAGCATACTCCTGATTGATAAGGTTTCCACTCCACCATCTGCCACCAGCGCCTTCTCCAGAGAAGCTACCCCCATCTCTAGCTCTGGGCCACCAGCTGCAGATGTCATGTCCAGTTCCCTGCTCATTGACGTCCAACCCAGCACCCTAGTGACATCAGCAGAACAAGAGATGCTTGGACGTGTAGCTGCCACCACGCCCACCAAAGTATACAGTGAAGTCCATCTCACACTGGCCAAGCCCGCATCTGTAGTCAACAGGACGGCCAGACCTTTCGGGATTCAGTCACAAGGGGGCACCAGCCAGTTGGACCAGAGCCCCATGATAGGAAGACGACATTTTGGGGAGAAGACTTGGGCCCCCCAGGCTACCACCATGGTAGACAGAAGTCCCCAACCACAGAGACATATAATGTCCCACAGCCCCATGGTAGAAAGGAGGCTGGTTGGACAGCGAAGCCCAGCCCTGGAGAGACGCCACTTCACCCCACCCCCCACCTATGCAGAGACTTTGTCTACAGAGCCTGTGGCTTCCCGGGTTAGGTCTCCACCCTCTTATTCAGCCCTGTACCCCAGCTCTGACCCCAAGCCTCCTCATCTGAAGGGCCAGGTGGTTCCCACCAGCAAAACAGGCATTTTGGAAGAGTCGATGGCCCGCCGAGGTAGCAGGAAATCCATGTTCACCTTTGTGGAGAAGCCCAAGGTGACTCCAAATCCAGACTTGCTGGACCTGGTGCAGACAGCTGATGAGAAGCGGAGGCAGAGGGACCATGGGGAGGTGGGCATGGAGGAGGAGCCCTTTGCCTTGGGAGCTGAAGCCTCCAACTTTCAGCAGGAGCCAGTAGCTCGAGGCAGGGCCAGCCCTGCAGCGGCTGAGGAGGCTGTCCCTGAGTGGGCTTCCTGCCTCAAGTCACCCCGCATTCAGGCCAAGCCGAAGCCCAAACCCAACCAGAACCTCTCCGAGGCTTCAGGAAAAGGGGCCGAGCTCTATGCCCGCCGCCAGTCCCGGATGGAGAAATATGTCATTGAGTCTTCAGGCCATGCTGAACTGGCCCGCTGCCCTTCACCTACCATGTCCCTGCCTTCATCCTGGAAATACTCCACAAATGCCCCTGGGGGCTTCCGAGTGGCATCCTTAAGCCCAGCTCGGACCCCACCTGCCTCCCTCTACCATGGCTACCTGCCTGAGAATGGGGTCCTGCGCCCAGAGCCTACCAAGCAGCAGCCATACCAGATGCGGCCCTCACTCTACGTCCTGTCACCCATCAAGGAGCCCGCCAAGTCCTCTCCACGCACTGCGTCATCACGCGCTGCCTCACGCACTGTCTCCCCTCGCACTGCCTCCCCAGCCAAGCCTAGCTCTCTGGACTTGGTGCCCAACCTGCCCAGGGCAGGCCTCCCACCATCTCCTGCCCTACCTAGGCCCTCCCGTTCCTCCCTGGGCCTCTATACCTCCCCAGGCCAGGATGGCCTCCAGCCCACTGCTGTGAGCCCCACCTATAGCAGTGATATCTCCCCGGTGTCTCCCTCCAGGGCGTGGTCTCCCAGAGCCAAGCAGGCCCCCAGGCCCTCCTTCTCCACCCGGAATGCAGGCATCGAGGCCCAGGTGTGGAAGCCTTCCTTCTGCTTCAAATAACCCATCCCACTGCCTGTCAAGGCCCTTTCTTGAAGGCTGAAGAACAGATATGGCAGGATGTGGCTCAGGGCTTAGTGAGGATTGGCTTCCATGGCTCATGGTCAGAGGTTGCTAACCAGCTAGCTGTGTGACCTTGAGTAGGTCTTCCCTCTCTGAGCTGCAGACAAGAGGGCTTAGACTCCATGTCTGGGTGGGAAGGAGGGTCATGGAGAAAGACACCCTCAGCAGGCCCTGATGAGCAGAGGGGCTTCCTCTGGTCCCTCAAGCTTCAGAGATGGGAGTCCGATACCAGCGTCTTGCTGGAAAAAGGTCCGTAAGGGTCCCAGTGGGGACTTCTGGAACAGACAGACCCTGCCAGCACCTGTGAATCTGCCAGCCCAGGGGCTCCTTCCCTCACAGGGCCCAGGGTCCTGGGGTCCTGCTTCCTGCTTCCTGCTTCTAGATTTTCACCTCCACTGGCTGTCTATTCCCTTCTGCCTTCTGGACATTTCCTCTCTACTGCTTGAGAGCTTTGCGTGGCTCCACCACCTCCTGTGCTCAGTCCCTCTACTGCCTGTGGACTTAGCTCACCACTGTTTTCTGATGCTTTTTTCTGAGACTCTGCTGCCTCCATACCCTCTCCAGGACCTGACTCCACACAGGGAGCCTCCTGGGCCTCAGCCCCACTGCCTTGCCCTCACCGTGCTGGGGTGAGCGACATCCCAAGGGATCCCTGAGAGGAACACTCTGAGGAGAGCTGTGCAGATGGGGGTGTGCTGCTAAGAGTGGCTAGTGGTATAATGACCTCTGCCAAGGTCTCTATGACTGGAAGAAGCCACCTCAGTGCAATGGAACAGGCTGAAAGAGGGAGGAGCGTTTGATCTCATCCACACCTCCAATTTTCTGGGTGACTTTTGCAGTCATTTTTCCTTTCTGGGCCTCAGTTTTCTCATTTACATAGGGTCCTCTAGCTCAGATAATCACTGAAGGTTGAGAAGGTAGGCCGGTGCAGTGGGATAAAGGCCTCAGAAGTGAGGAGACAAGACTTGTGGGGAGGATAGGGAAGGGAATGGGCTGAGGGACAAAGGAGTTAGATGTGCATAAGGGTGGCTAGTGAGGTATGGTTGGAATGAGCTGCTGCAGCAGGCCACAGAATCAGCTGCCTGGGTCAGGCCGGCTTGGGCCCAGGAACGGCTGGTGACAGTGGGAGCATGGCACAGCAGCTTAGAAGGGAGGGACTGGGCAGACGCTAGAGTTTTGAGGGAAAGCCTGGGACTTAGGCTTGGATTCTGACAGACTGGGTTTATACCTCTGGGTCTCAGTTTTCCTATTCATACAGAAAGGGTGTGGAGTCAGATGGCCCAAGCTCTCTACTCCCTGCCCCTTTGATATGGTGCAGTCCCCAGAACTAGTCTTTGTAGGGGGTGAGAGAATATAGACACATGAAGACACATTCAGATGGAAGCTTCCCAAGACCTGGGGTGAGGACCACACACTTCTTCTTTCCCAGCCCTATTTCTGGGATCCCAGAGGGACAGGGGTGGTGGAGGCGGTGCCCATGCTGGGCTGAGCCTGCATTTTTTGTGAGCCTGTCACCATGGGAACAGGGGTGCCTTGTCAGTGAGCTCATCCACACAGAAGGGAGGGATGCGTGGGGGAGCTGTGAGTGAACTCAGCTCCTTCAGTCTAGAACAAAATGTGCCTCTGGGGGGGACCCCGCTCCCTTGCACCCCAGAAGCCATCAGTGGAAGAGCCCACCCTCCGTCCTGCAACTCCGGCCTCTGAGCTCTTTTCCACTTCGTTCTCTCTCCTGTTTTCAATACACTCTGCCTCAAATCTGCCTTGCTTCTTCCTTTCTTCTGCGCTGTTGCTGCTATGAGTTGGGCCTCCATCTCTCCTCCCTGGTTCAGGCCTGAAAATGAAGTGGGATTGCTTAGCTAGTATGTGTGCATGAGACTGTGTCCCTGTGTGCTGCTACACCTGCTGTGTGTCTGGATCTAGGGGTCAGCTGTGTGCTGCAGAGGAAAGAAGAGCACCATCTTCCCTTTTCTCCTTCCCTGAGTCTGGCCCAAGGTGTGTTGAAGACGGGGGAACACACTGCCGCACGGCCCAGTTTGTTTGGGACCTCTCCCCAGCCCCTGATTTTTTTTTCTTTTTCTTTTTGAAACATGGCTTATAGCTGATCTTGAACTCACAGTGATCCTCCTGCCTCAGCCTTCTGATTGCTGGGATTATAATCATGAGCTGCCATGCCTGGCTCTTGAGTTATTTTCAAATGGGACTGACATGTCTTCTACCAGAATATTCCCTCTCCAGTGCCCTCAGGTTCCCCCCCCCCTGCTTTCTATACTATCTAAATTGGGCTGTTTCCCACATTTATCACCATCTCTGCCTGGCTCCTGAAAACACCAAGTTTCTGCCCCTGGTGTAGAAGAACATGCTGCCAGATCAGCACCTGGGTTCTGTGTGGCCTTGCATGGCCATTCCCTATCTCTGGCCCCAGTTTCCCCTTCTGTGCAATAACAGGACTGCAGATGATCTGGGAGCTCTGTGTAGTCTGTGATAGTCCCTGACTGACTGCTCAGCTCATGTCTCCACTCTATCCATGCCAGGCCCTGCTGTGGGGCTGGGTCTATTTTCTGAATTTCTATCCATTGCATTGCCAAGGAGTTGAGAGGATATGGTACATGAGCCCTTTGGCAGAAAGGTTCTGCATCCCTGCAGCTTTTTTGTATTGTACACCCCCTGCCCCTGCATACACAGTCAGTCCTGAGACATGGCAGTCGGCATGAGGTCAGACTTGGCTCAACTCCACATTCTAACCCATGCCTGAGCCATTCCACTTCACATGGCCTTGGCTGAACTCATTTATTGGTACTTGTTGGACCCAGCAATCCCCTATGAGCAGGAGAGGCAGAGAAAAACTTTAGTTTTGGACAGTTCTTATAGCTCCTCCAACCTCCTCTTCCTGTTCTGCCTAACCACTTGTTGACTGGCTTGGGTTATGAGCTCAGGGTGGCACTCAGGTACTGGGACACACGAGAGTCCCTAGGACTTGGCTTTAGACCCTGAAACTCTCATCTCAGCCCTTCTTCCTGTCTGACCCTGGGGCAGTAGCCTCCTGTCAAGCTGCCCATCAAGTCTGCCTCCCACAGGCCCTGGGCTGCAAGCTTCCTAGGGTGTGTCTCTGACTTATATGCGTGCACAGCTCTGACCCTGGGAATAGGAGGGAGGACGTCTTGTGCTGAGCTTTAAGTTACTGCTTTGATGAGCTTAGATACCCTAGAAAGCCCCTACAGGTCACTGTAACATTACAGCCCACCAAAAATGTCCTCTTCAGACTGTTCTAATGCTCCTTATTAGGTGAAAGGGATCTGAGGTTGGACTTATCTGGCAACTGCTGCTGTCTGACTGAAGATACCACCACCTGTCTCTATTACTACCTTTTGATTGGGACAAACTAGATTCTCCATTGGTTGAAAGAATGACTGGCTTGGCTATATCAGATTGCTGACTGGATGAAAGAATGGATCTTGTGGATGATTTTGATGGGGGAGAAGGCACTGGCTGGACCCACTAGCTTAGGGCTGGGATGGATGGATGATTGCTGGTGAACTTGGATTAAACTGAGTGCCAAATTAGACTGTGTGTTACCAGAATATGGATGAACAGCTAGATGGATTAAGGCATGCATGTTTGGCATCAATTCCCAAGGCCTCCACTTTAAAATTTTAAACATAGTATAGCCTTTGAACAGCAGGCACACATACACACACACACACACACACACAGTAGAGAGAATACACTGGGGTGTTTATGCTTCTTAGCTTCATTTTTATCATGAGTAAAATGGGTGTGATAATGCCAGCTTCCTAACCAGTCTTTGTGAGGAATCAAGAGATGAAGGATGTGACTGGACCTTGCAGATGGTTAAGTCCTTAAAGAGGCAGGAAGCAGGTGTGCCAGTGAATATAGTGCTATGCTTTTCAACCTCAAAACTGGTCACTATCTGGTTCTCCTGGAGCCATGCTCCCTGTCCATACTGGGGAAAAGTACAAGGAGGGGAGAGTGCTGACCAGAGATGAGTGGCCCCTTCATTTTGTGTTTCCATTTATCAGTAGGAACTTCTTTCTTCTAGGCACCCACAGAAAAGAAGTGAAGAGGTGACCTGGCAACATGGCAAGGGCTGGAAAAGGTCCTTCACTTGGTCCAATTTTAATAGTGGTAGTTATTATTTTTAAATTATAAATTGGGCGTAAGGGCACTCATCTGTAATCCCAGCACTTGAGAGGTGGAGGCAAGAGGATCAGAAGTTCAAAGTCATCTTCAGCTACATATTGAGTTTGAGACCAGCATGGGCTACCTGAAATCCTCTCTCAAAAAATTTATATATAAAGTCACATAATTTTTAAAAATGACAGGTAATGCAACCATATAGTTCCAAATTCTAGACATGGGGCTACAAAGATGGGGTTCAGTGGCTAAGAGTATCTGCTGCTCTTTAATAGGCCTAGAGCTTGGTTCCCAGCATCCACATCAGGAGACTCACAATTGCACATGACCAGCTACAGGGGGAATCCAACACCTCTGGTCTCTGAGGGAATCTGCACTCATACACCCCCCCCCACACACAATTAAACCTCTAAACATATGGAAAGTAATAACCTTAAAAAAAGACTTGTTCCGGCCCCTCGTGGCTGTGTTCCTTGTGCCTGCTAGCCCCATTTCTTAAGAGGTAATCACTTTTTTGTGTGTATCCCTCCTATCTCAGGGTAATGTCTACTCAGCAGCTTCCTCCAAGGAATGTGCTAATGAATACTATGTTCCTTCACATAAATTATTCTTTCCTCAAGATTTCATAGGCACCCAGTTTTACACAGGAGGAAATGGAAAGCTAGAGGGCTGGACAATTGCTTGCTCATTCTCATTAAGTGAGGGAGGGAGTCTATCTCCAAATCAAGCATTTAAAATATTTTATTTATTATTTTTATCTTTTTATGTGTATGAGTCTATTTCCTGCAAGTAGGTGCACCCGTGTCCTGCAATGCCCATAGAGGGCGTCGGATCTCCTGGAACTGGAGTTACAGTGGTTGTTAGCCACCATGTGGGCGCTGGGTACCCAACCGAGGTCCTCTGCCAGAGCAAGCAGTGCTCTTAACCGCTGAGCTATCACTCCAGCCCCCAAATCGAGCACTTTTCACCCAGTCATCTCCATGTCAAATGCAGGGCCTGACACCAGAGTGAAGACTTCGTAAAGCTTCAGTTGGGTCTTTTCAGTTTTAACTGCAGGTATCAGCTGACTTTGATGGGTACCTTTTCCATCCGTGAATAATGGGCCTGCACACCCTATCCCTTCCCAAACCTGGCTCTAGAGGACCGGATACTAATCCTGCCCCCATCCTCTCTGCTCTCTCCCCAGGACCGCCCGGAGAGCCTGCCCACCTCCCCGCCCTGGACGCCGGGCGCTTCCCGGCCCCCCAGCAGCCTGGACGGCTGGGTGAGCCCCGGGCCGTGGGAGCCCGGCCGCGGGGGCAGCATGAGCAGCCCCCCGCCGCTACCGCCGCCGCCGCCGCCCATGTCCCCGTCGTGGAGCGAGCGTTCCGTCTCCCCGCTGCGACCGGAAACCGAAGCGCGCCCCCCGAGCCGCCAGCTGCAGGCGCTTCTGGCGCGCAACATCATCAACGCGGCCCGGCGCAAGAGCGCCTCCCCGCGGCCGGCGGGCGCAGAGAGTCTGCGGCCTTTCTCCCCGCCGCGCGTGCCGCCGCCACCGCCGCCGCCGCGCTTGCCCTCCCCACAGCCCTCTCGCCCCGCAGGCCCGGCTCGCGGAGCGGCGTTCGCACCCATCCGTCGGAGCCCGCTGCCTGCCGGGCCCCCGTCGTGCACCAGTCCCCGGAGCCCCCTGGCGGCGCCGTCCAGGCCCTTTCCCTACCGCCGCTCGCCCACAGACTCTGACGTGTCCCTCGACTCCGAGGACTCAGGGGTTAAGTCGCCTGGCATCCTCGGCTACAACATCTGCCCCCGCGGCTGGAACGGCAGCCTGAGGCTCAAGCGTGGTAGCCTCCCCACCGAGGCCTCCTGTACCACCTAGAGCTCCACTCCCTCCCGGGGAAGGCCAAGCCAGAACAGGCATCAGGCTTGGGGGAACCCCAGCACCGAGACCCCAAAGGGTCTAACCTCATTGGACAGCCCGAGGTAGGGTGCAGGGAAGGAAAACTCTGATCTTGGAGATGGAGTAGAGCTACGAAAACTTGGGTTCTAGACCTTGGCTCTGTCATTCATTTGTGTGACCCTAAGCAAGAGTCTCCTGTCTCTGATCCTCAGCTGTTTAACGTGGCTTTTTGGCCAAAGCAGTCTCTGACCGTCAAATTTTCCCCTTCTATCCACAAACTGCCTTGAAGGGTGCAGCTCTGAATCAGGCCTTTGGACCTGCTGCATGTCAGGATTCCGAGCTTCTTCCTCCCTTGCTTGGTTTTCCGAAGTCTGGCACATGAAGGGTGTGTTCAAAAGAACCTAGGCCATGACCCAGCCCTTGGCTTGACCATCCAGCTCCCTGGCACCAAGGCCTAGACGGGAGCAGCTGTTTTCCATCCCTTCTCAGACAAGCTCTATTTTTATCTAGTGACCTTTAGAGAGATCTCCCAGGCCAGCTCAAGGTGCCCGGCTGGCCCCTCTGGGGGAAAGGGGCAAGGAGATTCTCATGCTTTCTCTACCCCAGCTCAGGGTGGCCAGGGAAGAACATTGTGTAGGGGGCTGAGTACCCCAGGCCTACTTCTTTGGCCTCCTGCATCTCTGCTTCTCGGCATGTTCATGACAAGTTCTGGACTTTTCAAAGCTGGAGAGAGAAGGACTAGAGACCCCCATCTGGCTGCCTTCTGTTGGGGCTTACCTATTTAGAAAGAGGAGGCAAAGAGGTCCTTCTTCTAGAAAATGCAAACCATGCCCAGGATGCATAAAGGAGATTCTAGCATTGGATGGGGCTGGCCCCTGAACTCTGAAATGCATTCCAAAGTATTAGGAAGTGGGAAAGGGTCCGGGGGAAGACCACAGGAATTGAATTCAGGGACAAAGAAGTTTGAGTGGGAAGTCAAGGGGTCATGCCAGAATAGGCCTCTGTTTCTGGACACCTAGGAAGTACCCCCCACTGCAGTTTCAGGCCCACCCTAGTGTCTGCACCATCCAGAAGAGTGGTCACTGTCTGTCCATCTTGGTATCCCACTGTGGCCGAGCTGATGCCTGGAACCCAGTGACCTTGAGGAACTTGGATGCAGTCTGTCCCTTAAACCTCAGTGGCTCCAATTCTAGTCCCTAGGAGGGACACTGAGAAGAATTTGCCTGAGTTCTGTAGTTTTCAGAGTTGGCTGGTAGTAACCATAGTGGTTCAGAATATCTGGGGGTGGGTGCTGAAGCTGGATGAGGAGCAAATGTATGTGGGTGAAAGAATATCAGGATGTTGTTAAAGGTGAGGGACTATGTGGCTTGGGGTAATCAGTAGGCTTACCCCACCTATCAAGGTGATATTAAACCTGGAGCACCTGAGTAAGGCTGGGGAAAGCTAAGGTCAGGATGGAACGAAGTCAGGTTTGGGGTGAAGTGCATTTTAGTGATCTCGGAGGGTTCTAATGCCTATGACTTGGGAACCAGGCCTTACTGGGAAGATGAGAGGGTACTCCTGTTTGGTTAATAATGACTGAACACACTTACCTAAACCCCTACCCATTGTAGCATCCCTTGTAGTTAAGGAGTCCCAAGCTAAGGATGCCTTCCAGAGAGCATAGATAAGCTTCTGCCCACATTTCCCCAAAGAGCCAGCAGGAGGCAGCTTTGGGAGACTACAGTTCTGTTCCTGCTGTTCTGTCACTGTGACTGCCTTCTCCCTGCCCATTTCCTCTAACCCACTAGAGCTTGCCTTTATCCCGCATCACGCTTTCTGTAGAATTCAGCGCAATAAATGCTTACTGCATTCTTTTGCCGCCAGTGTCATTTTTTTACTTTCCCAAAGCCTTTTCCTTCCTCCAAAGCATGTACCAGTCCATGGGATTCTGTGTATCTGAGACACATGGTTTTGGAGCTTGGAAATCAGCAGCCATGAGAACAGATGGGGAACAATGGAAAAACTTGGGACCATAGAAGTTCTTGGGTTGAAGCCCAGGCTCTGTCATTGATTAGCTAGGTGGTCTTGGCTGAGCCCCTTCCCTCCACCTCTCCAAGTCTGTTTCCCCACCTGGGTGATGGGAGAGTTGATCTAGATGTATCTTGGGGTGGTACTGCTACAGGATGCTGTTGCTGGATTGGGCAGGGCTGGGCTGGGTCAGGGCCCAGGGCTCTAGGGCTACTTCCTTATGGAAGACAGGGTTCCAGGACAGGAAGAGGAGCCACCAAGGTAAGATATATCTAATTCCAGGCAGCCCTGATGAGACCAAGATAATTAAGGGCCCAGAAAAGGTGATTGTAGCCTCACTTCTAGGTGCAAACCTCCTCTAGTCTTATCCTCTAAAGGTTCAGGCCTAGCAGAAACTAGGCAAAGGAACCCAAGCAGCAGAGAACAGAGCTCAGAGCAGACCAGAACAGAGGCCAGGCTGCTGCCCTGACCAGGTGTCAGAAAACACTCCTGCACTATCTGCACTGATAGACTCATATGTTTCCCATCCTGGACCCAGGGAGCCTTGCTGTGCCCACACTTTCCTGGGATTGGCAGAAAACACTCCTGCACTATCTGCACTGATAGACTCATATGTTTCCCATCCTGGACCCAGGGAGCCTTGCTGTGCCCACACTTTCCTGGGATTGGCTTATATACCTCTGACCCTGTCATAACTTTGGGTAGAACCTCTCCTGAGGACAGCATCCCACTGCCTATTGGTGGTGTCTCCCACCAATTAGTTTGGGTATCTCAAACTAATTCATCCCTGATGGAATGAAGAGGTTGCCATTTGACCTCACCCCCACCTGGTCCTCCCTTTCCTCACCTCCCATTTCCAGTCTCTTACCAAGACATGGTCTTTCTCTAAGTGTCCCACAGTGCCTTTTCCCCGTCTCCACCCCTTTTTTTCTCTTCCCCAAGCCAGCCACCTCCATCTCTCTGCTGGCTACAGGACAATCCTCTTGCCTCTAGTCCGGGCCCCCTCCAACCCCTTAGCAGCAGAGCTATCTCAGATAAATGTCAACCTGACCATACTCCACCAGCTTAATCACTACAGCAACCTGCTGTAACACAGCTTCCTTTGAAAGCTGGCCCCTAACCACCATCTGCCCTTAGTTCATAGTACCACCCCCAGTCCCCCAGCTCTGGCCTTACCTACCAACCCTCCAAGTCTTTGCAAGTGATCTGCCCTCTGCCTGCAAAGCCCTGCCCCCTGCCTAAAGAACTTTCATGTATCTGGCATCTTACAAGGTTCAGTTCCAACACCTCCTCCTCTGGGAAACCTCTTCAGGTTCCAGGCTGTGCTGGCACCACATTCTCCTGATTCCTGGGCTATCCCAGAGCAATTCTCATGATGCAGCACTAAGGCTGTTTACTAGTCTGAATCTGAGCTGGCTGAGCTCCTTGAGGGTAGAGCCCTGGCTTTTATTTTGAGTTTATGAATAGAAACTCAGAGAATGTAAGAAGGTTGCAGGAGGGAAGGAGAGAAGGAGGAAAGAGAGAAAGAGGGAGGAAGAAAAAGTCAAGCAAAGATATTGGGGGAAGATAAGGTGTGGTGGTACACACCTTTAATCTCAGCATTCAGGAGGCAGAGGCAGGTGGATGTCTGTGAGATTGAGGGCCAGCCTAGTCTATATAATGAGTTCCAGGCTAGTTGGGGCTACAGGGAGAACCTGTCTCAAAAAACAAAATAAGGAGCTGGAGCGATGGCTCAGCAATTAACCTTCTATAACTCCAGCTCCAGGGGATCTGACACCCTCTTCTGACCTCCACAGGCATTGCATGACACAGGTGCACTTATATATATGCAGGCTATATATATATATATATATGTTACAGAAGGTTGTTAGCTGCCATGTGGGTGCTGGGAACTGAATCCAGGTCCTCAGCAAGAGCAGCCAGTGCTCTTAATATCTGAGCCATCTCTCCAACCCATAAAATAATTGAAAAAAAAAGGCAGAAAAGATACTGGGGGACATTTTTTTCATCCACCTATGCATTCATTCATCCAGGAAGCATCTATTGAGTTCCTATCAGGCATCACTCTAGGCACTAAAGATACAGCAATTACAAAGCTGCAGTAAAAGCAGCCAGCTCTCAGCATTCCCAGGTGACTGGCATGTGCACATGTGAAAGTGCGTGTACCCATGGGTGCAAGCCTTTCTGTTTGCAAGGGCCTGCTGCCGGGGCACCTGTCCTCCCTAGGGCCCAGTGCTTTTAGTATCTGGCCCCGGCTCCTGTTGCAGCCCGAAATAAGGCTGTGACCCACGACAAGGCAAGAAATGATTCTTGTCAACTGAAGCCAGCACTGGCTGCAGGGCGCACCCTGCTTGCTGACCGCTGACCGCTGACCACTGACCGCAGACTTCAACAGCCACTGACCACGCAACTCCAGCTTCCCAACCAAGGTGTTAATCTGGAGGGTCTGATATTCTTTCCCACCCGCTGTGGCCTCATCCTCTTGGGTACCAGCATCTGTGGGGAGCTCTTGGGAGCCAGGGTGAGTAGACAGAGGGCTCTAAGCAATCTGCAGAACACCTCTCTCCCAGCAGAGGCAGGGCTCTGTAGAGGATCTGGGGAGTTTGGGCCTCACCAAGGCTAGGCTCTGGTTAGGCAGAAGGAACTATAAACTCCAGGATCCTGGTCATCAAATGGGAGGGAATGGCAGGGATTAAATGTAGGGGATAGCTGATGGCTCTGCTCAGTCTTCAGGCCTTGCAGGGAAACAACTCCCAGGCTATAAATTACAGACCCTTCCCAGAGTCTGTGTATTTTAGTAGGAATGTTTATCCAGGGACAGATTGGAGGACTGTGGCATTCTAACCCAGCACAGTCACAGTTGGCTCTTTTCAATTCTTTTGAGACCCTTGCCCCAGTGGCATGCAGATATGCTCAAATTTACATTCAGTTTTAGAGGTCTGTGGATGCTCTGAGGCCCAGCCCCAGGGTTTAGTCCAATCAATCCTGTTAAATTACAAAGGGAAACTGAGACACAGAGCTGGAGAGCTATTTTCTCATACTTGCAAAGGAAGTCAAACGTATTGGACTCAGGTTGCTCATCGCTGGTGTGGACACACAGATGGAGGGAGTGAATGACCTGAAAGCCAAGCAGAGGGACACTGGCAGGGGCAGAAATGAGGAGCTTCCTCTTCTGACACAAGCTGGGGAAACTGGGTTGGGGATTCACAGGGGTTCTTTGGAGCTTGTGTTTGTGAATCTGCTTCAAGATTCCTGGAAAATAGCAAGAAATGAAAAGGAAGGATGAAGGAAGAGGAAAAGACGAAATGACAGGCAGGCCTAGTGCTTGGGGCTAGGGATGGTTCTAGGCGCTAAGGCCAGACAGATGGGCAAGGGCCAGATTTCTGAAAGCAAATTGCATTAGAAAGGGCCACGTAGTGATTAATTAAGCTGGTAGAATGGGAGTCAGACTGGCATTTTCCAGAGACAGTTCTGCTGCCATGAAAGTAGCCCAGGGAGGAGAGACAGAGGAGGATGGGTGATGGTTTTGTCTATCATGTTGAACCAGCTTCAGGAACAAGTATTGGGACAGAGGGAGAAGTGCCTGTGTGCAGATCCACGGTAACCCCAGCTCAACTCAGACTATTCTCCTTCCAACTTCTTCCAGCCTCCAGCTTTCTTGGGTCAGCAGATGACAATTATGTCTGAGACCCACTTCCCCCACCCCTGAAGCCCCAGACATAAGGGCAGCCCTAGAGACCAGCTGGCCTCTGAACTGTGTGGCATCCATCCTTGGGCCTCAGTCTCTTGCTCCAGATGGAGACTGCAAAGACCCTTCAACTCTGCCAGCCCTTGCTTGTGACTATGGGCTACTCGGGGCTGGAGCTTGGTGGACAAGGGCCTTGGAGGGGGACTGGGGAGGAAAAGAGGCTGCCTAGGCCATTTGTGGGAGTCTTTCTTCCACAGGATGATCCCCAAGGAGCAGAAGGAGCCAGTGATGGCTGTCGCAGGGGACCTTTCTGGACCAGGTAAGTGGACCCAGCCCTGTGCTTTCCTCCAACTCCTTTTGATCTCAGATTATGGCCATTGAGGCCTGCTGGCCCCTAGGTCTGGCAAGCACATGTGAGTTCTACAGGTGGTATCTGCCACCTGGTTGGGACACTTTTTGAGGCTTTTTGTGAGAACTTTCTCTATCACCATGTAGCAGTTACAGTTGAAGCTTAGTGTCTCAGCCTGGGCCTTGGTTCCAAGATCCCCCCATTACCAGCCCTCGCTAAGGCCTAATTGAACCCCGAGGACTTTGTAGCCAGTACCAACTGTGGCTACAAGCTCCCCACACTCTTGCCCTTGGTTACTACAACTGTGGGTCTCACTGAGGCCTCAGGGTAGACCAGGCAGCCCAGTGACCACAGCTGGGAACAGGAGTGGGGAAGGAGGAGGATTGTAAGAGTGGGTTAGACTCAACAATTTTACCTAAAACCTTGCTCAACTTTATGAATAAGTTACCTAACATTCATGATTGGCAACTTTATAAGACCTCTAAGAACTCCTGGTATAATGAGTTTGTTTATTAGAACATTTCAAACACTTAAAAAATTAATTTAATTAAGTTGAGGGTTTCAAGCTTTAGTGTGACTTGTGGCTCTGCACTGCTGGTAGAAGTCCAGATTCCTTTGACACATGGTCTCCTACTGAATCTGGAGCTAGGCTGGCTAGCCAACAGGCCCCCAGAATTCTCCTGTCTCTGCCCTCCACAGTGATGGCATTACAGGTGTGTGGATTTTTATGTGGGTGCTAAAATCTGAACTTAGGTCCTCATATGTGCACAAGTGCTCTTACCCACTGAGCCATCTCTCCAGCCCCTTTGCTGGCTTTATGTGGTGCTGGGGATCAAAAGGGCCCAGGACATCCTAAGCAAACACTCTAACAGCTGAGCTACATCCTCAGCCCATATGGCTTTATATGTCAGTTATTCTTTTAACCTATCTTGTGTGTTCTTGCCTCTTTCTGCTATTGTCATGTTTCTATTTATCTTTCATTAATTTTTGCCTTTGGGGTGGTGGAGCTCAAATGCAGGGCCTCATGTATGCTAGACAAGCACTCTATCACTGAGCCACACTCCCAGCCTGTATCCTCCATGAGTTTGTGTGTTCAGCTATGCAAACTCAGGGAGGCATTGCTGCTTTAACTGGAAGAGTCAGGAGTCAGGCATCGCATCTTATTTTTTATTTTTATTTTTTTTTTGTCCATGCAACTATTTACAGACCCCCAAATATCGACACACATCATTTACAACAGATTTGAAAATATATAATTTGTTTATTATCACTAAGACACCAAAGACATTTTTAATGTAAAAGTGGGAGGAAAAATAAATCTCACCACCTAAAAATACTCATTGCAAAGCAACAATAACCACAACACTTACCATCAGTGCTGGGTGCTGAGGATTAGACGCTATGCCTTATGTTAGTTGAGCCTCACAACAACTCTAAGTTAGATATTATCATGCCCATTCTGCAGATGAGAGACAGGGCTCAGAGGAGCTAGGTGGTCATGACTGGTAGGTAGCAGATCTAGGATTCCTTGTTGATCCTTTTGTTCCCAGATCTGCTATTTCTATTATGGTTCTGCAAATAACACATTCATTAAAAAACACTCGGACAAAAAACACGAGAGATCGGAAGTTCTTCATAACAGAGCCATTTGAATATGTTAAGTAGTGTTAACATATTGGTGTAAATTCTTCTACTCCTGTGTAACATGTTTATGTGAATGAGTGTACATGGGTCATGCTCTCCAGATGGCTTCCTTTTACACTTCACAGCATTCCACAGACTTCTTCCATCCTGGCATGGTTTATCTCACTGCACTCCTCCCATCTGCTGCCACTTCATTGTTTGGCTAAGTCTTCTCTATCTAACCAACTCAAAATGCTCATCCCAAAGCCTTGTCTTGGGTGAGATCCTTGAGAAGAGTCTCAGCAGCTTTGTGCAAATGATCATGGTGATGTAGCTCAGCTGGGGGTGTCCAGAGCCTGAATTGCTTCATAGAATACACCCTGCCCAAACAGGGGAACCAGAAGCCTCTACGTCAGTAGGCAGTTCTCTGTAGAAGCTGTGTCCATTTGCCACTCCCAAGCGCAGCTGTGCAACACTCACCCCAACATCAGTCCCTCAGTTCTCACAATTTTAAACCCCACTGCAACAAACACCCTTGTACATCTATCTTTGAGCAATGTTTCCTCAACTCTTTCCCAACAATGAATTCCTAGAAATAGATTTAGTCAGAGAGGTTCTTATCTTGCTCTTTAATAGCAACTGAGCTCAGTTTATCTGCATAGTGTTTAAGAATATGACTTGAGGGGTGGAAGACTTTTATTATGTGTCTACTTATATTTAGTCTTTCATATTTTTAAGTTTTCAGCTCTCTCTCTCTCTCTTGTTAATGACAATAGGGGCTACGGAGATGGCTCTGTGGGTAAAAAGCACTTGCTATGCAAGCATGAAGACCTGAGTTCAAGTGCTGACGTAAAAAACACTGAGCATTGCTTCATGTGCCTGAAACCCCAGCAATGGGGTTAAAGGGGCAGAAAGCTTGATGGCCAGCCAGCCTAGCCTAAGCAGTGAGCTTCCAAACAGTGAGAGAACCTGTCTCCAGACAGTAAAGCAGGGATCAGTAGAGCAAGACACCTAAAGTTTTCCTGTAGCTTCTGCATGGGCATGCACAGTTGTATACTCATGTGCATGCATCACACACACACACACACACACACACACACACACACACACACTTTTAAAAGAAGAAAAATGCCAGGCTTGGTGGCACATGCCTTTAATCCCAGCACTCGGGAGGCAAAGGCAGGCGGATCTCTGTGAGTTCAAGGCCAACCTGGTCTATATAGTGAGTTCTAGAACAGGGGCTACAGGGAGACCCTGTCTCAAAAAGACGAGAAGAAGAAGAAGAAGAAGAAGAAGAAGAAGAAGAAGAAGAAGAAGAAGAAGAAGAAGAAGAAGAAGAAGAAGAAGAAGAAGAAGAAGAAGAAGAAGAAGAAGAAGAAGAAGAAGAAGAAGAAGAAGAAGAAGAAGAAGAAGAAGAAGAAGAAGAAGAAGAAGAAGAAGAAGAAGAAGAAGAAGAAGAAGAAGAAGAAGAAGAAGAAGAAGAAGAAGAAGAAGAAGAAGAAGAAGAAGAAGAAGAAGAAGAAGAAGAAGAAGAAGAAGAAGAAGAAGAAGAAGAAGAAGAAGAAGAAGAAGAAGAAGAAGAAGAAGAAGAAGAAGAAGAAGAAGAAGAAGAAGAAGAAGAAGAAGAAACCCAATGACAATAAACATTGTAAATGATTTGCAGCCTTCTTCCTTCCTAAGTCTCATAGTCAGTGCTAATACATGACATGACTCTGCAGAGCGTTTGGTATATGCCCAAGCCTAATCCTATTTTAATATATAAATAGAATCTTAGAAGAGGTATTCTTCTGGAGCCCCCACTATTTAACTTAGATTCCTTTACATTTTTTTAAACTTTTTATTTATTGATTTTTAATGTGTATGAGTGTTATATTATGCTTGCATGTATGTGTGAGTGCAATGCCCAGAAAAGGGCATTAGATCCCCTGGAACTGGAGGTATGGACGGTTGTTAGCCACCTTATGGGTGCTGGGACTTGAACCTGGCTCCTCTGGAAGAGTGGCCAGTGCGCTTAACTGCTGAGCCATTTCTCCAGCCCCTAGAGTAGATTCTTTTTTGCTCTTAGTGTGTAAAAAGTGCTCCTAAAATAAATGGTATGTGGAGGGTGTTGTTGCTATTGCTTCTGGGTTTTTTGTTTGTTTGTTTTTTGTTGTTGTTGTTGTTGTTGCCCCCCCCCCGGTCTCATGTAGCCTAGGCTGTCCTCAAACTTGCTATGTAACCAAGGATTACTTTGAACTCCTGATTATCCTGCTTCTACCTCCTGGGTGCTGGGATTACAGGTTGCAGCAGCTGCATCCTGCTTTTAAATATTTGTTAATAAAAGCCACCCCCTTTCTTGGCGTCTCTCAGGAACTCCACTGAATGGAGTGGAAGCAGTACCCATGGCCCTTCTGTGCTGCCTGCAGCTGTGTCCACAGTCTGTGCACCCTCCTATGTTGTGCTCTTGATTTTGGCAACCTCTCTTCTCACCCCCCAGAATCCCACTCCCTTCTCCCACATCTTATCTCAGCAAATGGCCTTCCTTGAGGTTATAGGGAAAAAAGTGAAGTCATTAATAGAAGCATCTGCAAGTCCCCCACCACATCTGTCCACTTGCTCAAGTCTGTGCCACTGTGTGCTCAGCTTTCTCGCTTTGGAGCCTGAGTGGACTCTGCTGGTACCTGTCAGATTCAATCCTGCAGCAGAGCATGGAAAACTACCCCATTTTAGGCTCGAGGACATTCCTTCCACAATTCTCCTCCCTCTATTGCTTTGCTGGCCTTCTAAACAAGCCCCTATTGACCCCACAGGTGCCTGCAGTTAGTCCTTCAAAGCAAGTGTCTATACATTTCTTTCCATCCTCTTTTTAAAAACATTTTACTATGCCTAGTTCCAAACACACAAAAAATAGAAGACAAGCCAGTTAATTCAGAGAGTCACATCACTTCCCCGCACCCCAAGGGCCCACATCTGGACTAAGAAAAATGGCATTCCCTATATACCACAAAAATATTATCACATTGCACAGAGCCAGCAATAACGATTTAACATCATCTGATTACTAGTCTGTATACAGCTTTCTCTAATTTTGTAGTTTTAAACAGGACCCAAGCAATGGCCGTGGTTCTTACTTGGTTGCCATGTCTCTTAAGTATCTTTAAGACAACGCTTCTCTTTTTTTTCCATGTCCTTCTAGCCAGCTGCCCTTCTAAAAGGTCCCACATCCTAGATCTGGCTCATTGCCCCTCATAGTGTTGTTAAACTTGTTCCACTGTCTGATTCCTCTTGAGCCCTCTCCAGCCACACTTTCACAGCCAAATGCTCCATGGATATTGCTTTAGAAGAGATTACTGCTGACCCTAACCTGCTAACGCCAATGGTCAGTTTTCAAGTCTCACTATATTTGACGTGTCAGCAGCATTCAATTCCTTGGGAGGTCTGTTATCCCTGAAATCTTTCATCATTTGATTTTCAGGGTGCTACCCTCTCTACATTTCCTCCTACTTCACTGGTTCCCCCTTTCCAAGTTCCAAGGCATGTTCTTCTCCCCCACCAAAGTGTAAGAGAACTCTGGGCTCAATCACTGGCTTTCTGTATCACTTCTGCTTTCTTCCTGACCTCATCCAGCCTCCAGCTTAGAATGCCATTTATACAGCTGGTGCGAGAGGCTCTGTGTATCTGATTTTATTGTATTTATTTCTGTTTTGCTGTGCTGGAGGAGATTGATCTCAGGGTCTTGCATATGTAAGGCAAGTGCTCTGTCACTGAACAACAGCCCCACCCTGCATCAGATGTTGAGAGAGAGAGGGGGGGGGAGGAATATGCTGGCCACACAGAACCCTCTCCTACCAATCCTTAGCATTTTGTGACTCTGTCCTCCAAAACTTCCTTTGTTGGTTAAACATAAAAGTATGTGTTTTACTAGGAGGGGAGGCACCAAGGGGATGGGATCCAAACTAAGGACAGTTAGCAGCCCTGAAAATCCTTAAGCGGTGATAATGACTGATCCTAACCATGAGAAGAGATGTAATGTTTTCCATTAAAAAGCAACATGAGGCAGGTGTGGTGGTGAACATCTGTGATCCCAACACTTGGCAGGTGGAGGCAGGAGGATGAGGAGCTCAAGTTCATCCTTAGCTACACATAGCAAGTTTAAGAACAGCCTGGACTTTATGAGACCCTGTTTCAAAATAAAAAAATAAAGGCCTAGAGAGATGGCTCAGTAGGTAAGAGTATTTACTGTTCTTGCAGAGGACCTGGGCTCAGTTCCTAGCACCCACATGACCCACATGACAGCTTACAACTGTCTGTAACCCCAAGGGCTTTGACGCCCTCTTCTGGCTTCTTTGGGCACCAGGCACATATGCAGTAGATACATGCAGGCAAAACCCTCAGACACATAAAACTAAAAATAAATAAATCTTTTTAAAAAGCAAACACAAGCTAGGCCTTTAATCTCAGCACTCAGGAGGCAGAGGCAGGCAGATCTCTGTGAGTTCAAGGCCAGCTTGGTCTACATAGTGAATTCCAGGCCAGCTGGGACTTCAGGGAAACCTGTTTCAAAAAATACCATTAAAATAAAATAAAATAATTAATTAAAAAACAGATATGAATATATAAGTTAAATCTAAACGATACATATCTTTTCCAGCACTTGGGAGGCAGAGGCAGGTGGATCTCTGGGAGTTTGAGGCTAGCCTGGTCTACATAGTGAGTGCCAAGCCAGTTGAGGCTACAGAGAGACCCTGTCTCAAAAAGACCAAAAAAAAAAAAAAAAGGAAACGTAGCTAAAACCAAACCCCCCCCCCCCCAATCTTCTCCTCCCTCCACCTCCCCCATCTTAGTGAGTGGTCACTCCATCCTGGTCGGAAGTCTTCTTTTTTCGCTTATTATTTTCATACTTGTAGCTTTCCTTTTAAAACTATTTAGAGTCTGGCCAGGCATGGTAGCGAGTTCCAGGTCAGCTGGGGCTATAGGGAGACCCTGTCTCACAAAAACAACAACAACAAAATAAATAAATAAATATTTAGGCAAAGGGATGCATGGGAAACTCACAGAGTAAGTATAAATGGCCAAACTTCTACAACAGTGCTCAACCCTGAGGAGCACAAGCCTCACACTGAAGTATCTTTCTAGCCCATCAGTTGGGCAAAGTTCCAGAGAAGATGGACTCTGACACGCTCTGTTGTGAGGCACGGTGCTGGGGCAGGTGTCTGCAGTGGCATGGCAGGGCTGCCTGGTCAGATAGTAAGAGCCCTGTCTGGCCTCTCCTGCAGTCCCTACGCTGGATCTGGGGAAGAAGCTGAGCGTGCCTCAGGACCTGATGATAGAGGAGCTGTCCCTGCACAACAATCGTGGGTCCCTCCTCTTCCAGAAGAGGCAGCGCCGAGTGCAAAGGTTTACCTTCGAACTTTCGGAAAGTCTCCAGGGGGTGAGAAACCTCAATGTGCCTTTGGGAAAGCTAAGACCAAGAGAGAGCCGGTGGTTGTCCAAAGTCAAAAAGTGAGCGGGCTGAGGATGCAGCAATTTCAGAAAGTAGTAAGGAAGTCAAAGGCATCACTCAGAACTCCATCACTCAGTACTGGGGGAGAGAGAGAGAGAGAGAGAGAGAGAGAGAGAGAGAGAGAGAGAGCCAGAGACAGACACACCTTTGCCTCATGCCTGAGATAGTGGCAGCTAAGGGCCTCACGTGTGTTTTCACGGAGACTCGAGGTGGATATATCACCAACCCAGAAGGAAACTGAGGCTCAGGAAGTGTCTAATACCAACTACATATTACAGTAGCAATGAAAGTTGTTGAGATTCCGCTGTGTAGGAACTGGCTTATCGCTGTGAACTGTCAACTCATCCTTCCTACATCCCCTGGGATCTCCTTCCTATCCTCCTTCCTCCCCCTGCGGATCCCTTGGGAGGTTGGAGGGGAAGCCCTGGCCCCTTGCCCCGCTGAGCCTCCTCGAGGTTTACCCCCCTCCCCCAGATCCTGTCTGGAAGCGCCCGGAAAAAAGAGACCTATAGTACGGCGGGAACGGTGAGAATGAGGGGAGACTCCGGAGGGGAAGCTGCGGGAAGGGAGTGCCTGGGACCCGCTGGCCGCCTCTGAGCGCCGGCCCCTGTGCTCAGGTTGCCAATGGCCGGGAGGAGCAGAACTACGACTCCCAGCTCCACGCGTTCCCAGGCTCGAGCCTGGACCCAGGGGGCGCCCACCCAGCCGCGGCCCTGGCGGAGTCCGTAGGTGGTCCGAGCGCCCTGGCGCCAGGTGAGTGGCTGCGCTGGGGGCTGGGGGCCCTGAGAACACCGGTGTGGACGATGGGGGCAGGGACAGCACACAGACAGACACAGACACAGACACAGGCACAGGCACAGGCACAGACAGACACAGACAGACACAGACACAGACAGGCACAGGCACAGGCACAGGCACAGACAGACACAGACACAGACAGGCACAGGCACAGACACAGACAGACACAGGTACAGGCACAGACACAGACACAGACAGACACAGGCACAGGCACAGGCACAGACACAGACAGACACAGACACAGGCACAGACAGAGACAGACATGCACATGCACAGGCACAGACACAGACACAGACAGACACAGGCACAGGCACAGGCACAGACACAGACAGACACAGGCACAGGCACAGACACAGACAGACAGGCACAGGCACAGGCACAGACACAGACACAGACACAGACAGACACAGGCACAGGAACAGACACAGACAGTCAGACACAGGCACAGGCACAGACACAAACAGACACAGACACAGACAGAGGCACTGGCACACCACCACCACCACCACCAGAATCCAGTGCCCAGAGAGTCACAGCACTGTGCCCAAGGTCACGTAGCCAAGGAGTGTAGAATGCTGGCTGGACCCTAGCTCCAAACCTCCTCCAGTCCGGGATGGGAATGTCCCACCCCTCCTCTCTCCAGACTCCTCCCACAGTCTCCTGCAAGGTGGGAATGGGGTGAAGGAGGAGGGGACCAAACCTTGGCACCCCCTTCACGGGCCGCCGCTCCATTCCCAGGCTACGCGGAGCCGCTGAAGGGCATCCCTCCTGAGAAGTTCAACCACACCGCCATCCCAAAGGGCTACCGCTGCCCCTGGCAGGAATTCGTCAGCTACCAAAACTATGCAAGCGCAAGCAACATTGGCAGTCACACCCCTAGTCTCCGGGGTGACTATCGGAACTTCAACAAGTAAAGCTGCCAGGCCGGGTGGGGTGGGCAGTGGCTTTCAAGAGCACTTTCCCCTTGCCAGCTCTAGTCCCAGCAGTTTGTAGTGTTTATTGAGATCTTGCTAGAAAACTGCCTCCCACCTAGTAGGTGCTCAGTAAATGTGTGTATGTATGTATTGAATATACCACAGCTCTGCCACAGGGTAGAGCAGACACAAGATTCCCCTGCAAAGGAAGTGGCCTGGTTGGGGGAATAAATAGCCTGCTCAAAGTCACAGCACTGACTTCAGGCCTGGGTTTGTCTTGTTCTCCATCCCTGCAGTAGCCACCTAATAGACATCAAAAACTCTGTCCTTTTCTGGGGGCGCCCCAGATCTCACCAGCCCTAAGCTCACCCGCATCTTAATTTTACCAGTAGAATAGAAAAGGCCTGGAAGGTGGCTTTGAGGCTGCCCACAGCAGGAAGTAGCAGTTGAGGGCTGCTGAGAATGGCCTAAACTGGTTTAGTGTATGGCCTCAATGGAGGTGTCAATGCAGGCTCCAGACCTGGCTGTGTGGCCTTGAGCAAGCGACTTACTGTCTGAACTTCTGTTGCTCCACCTGTAAAACAGAACATTCCAGACTTCATCAGGCTGCTGCTATAAAGACGGCATGAGAAGTCACAGGCAAAGGTTGTCAGGTAATAAGCAGCTGTTGGTGCTGCTATTGCTGTTATCGTTTACAGGCAGGAATGATGGGAAAAGCTGGCTGGGGAACAGAAGGAAACAGAGCCTGGATATCATCTGGGAGCCTGGCTGGAGGCTGCTCTGCAGGAGGGCACCAGCTCACGGTTCCAATGCAGTTGACTGCCTTGGCCTCATGCTATTTCTGAACACGTTCCTCTGATTTGGGCTGCAGTAAGTGAGGACAAAAGGAGGGTCTAGAGAGGAGACTGCCATCCAGCTGTCCTGCCGAGACCACATGTGTGGAGGCTAGGCCTAGAAACCAGGCCTGAGGAGGAAGGACACATGAATGGGGTGCTGGAGACTTGACTGCTCCAAACAGCTGACTGGCCAAGGAGGGCCCTGACAGGAAGAAGTGGGCTCAAGAGTCCCTGTGAGAGCCAGGAGATCCTAGCAGACATTCTAGAGTTCCCCACCAGGTGGCAAGACTGCTGCCTCTCCTCCTCAGCCCTCAGCCCCTGCCTGCCTATGTATCCCAAGCCTCAGCAGGCTCAGTCTTGAAGCTGGCTGGCTCAGGAGCCCACCCACTCCTTTACCTCAGCATGGTAGCTGAGGTCCACTCCTAGCAGAAGGGGCCTAGGGTGGCCTCTTCAGGGACTGAAGGGACAAGTGAGGCTGAGAGAGGAGTAGCACTACTGGTGGCCAAACAGGCTCAGCCAGGCCTCTGGGCTCCCAGTCAAGGGTCCAACTGTGAGGCCTGCAGGGCTCGGATGCTGCCTAGTCTGTTCTGCAGAGCTTAGCTGAGGTATTCCCCGCAGCGTTCCTTGCAGGATCCCAGGCCCTGGCCAAGGTTGACCTTTCCACCCGAAGGCAAACCCCTCTTCCCACTGACCCCTGCTGCAGGGACAATACTACATGAATACCACTTTCTATATTGCTTAAAATAAAAAATAAAGGCTGACGAAATGAAGCAGGGATAGAGCACTTGCCCAGCATCCCCAGGCCCATCCTCAATACCCTGCACAGCTCCGCACCCCCCAAAGGCTTAAAAATCACACACAATATTAGTCAACTGCAAATTAAAGCAGGACCTCTTTGTTGGCCATCCTCCAATCCCCCTTCCTTTGCAGTGGTACTAGGGTTGTGTTCAGGTAGCTGCCTATGTAGAGGGCATGTGGCACTGCTGTGTGAGTGTGAGTATCTGTGAATATGTGGCATTTCTTTAGGTAGCTCACATTTTTTTTTTTCCATTCAGCACTGCTTTTGAAACCCACCATACTAATACATATAGATCAATTCCCTTTCCCTTGCTGCTGGCCCATCTCTGGCTTGTCCAGCCCTGTCAGGTGCTCCGGGGCTGCTTTGGGCTTGTTGCTAATGCCCTGCTGTCTGCTTCTTGCCACATACATGCTTGAGTCTCCCCCAGCCGTGCGATTAAAGATGGAGATGCTGGGTGACATAGTTCACATATTTTCTGATTGAAAAAGATGCTACCAAATTGTTCTCTGAAGTAAAAGCACCACTTTCTCCTCTAACCAGCAGAGGACCAGTGAGGCCTTGTCCCTTTCAGCTGGTCTTGTGGGGATAAGTGTTGGTCCCTGCTTGTCATTTGCATGTTGCTAATTCTCAGCACTCCTTCTAGTCATCTCAGCTCTCCAGGTTGTGGCTCTTTTGTTGTAAGGGAGGGGACAAGTATTGCTCCTCCAGTATTGCTCTCTTCCAGAGCTGACTGGAGCGGAGTTTAGAGTTTGCCTGGGACAAGCCAGTTCTGACTCTGGAAACTTCCCCCTTCTTAACTGGGAGCAGACCTCGACAGGACAGAACTGGAGACACTGGTTAATGATAATAACAGAGTTTTGCTGTTCACAAAGGGAAACTGAGGTCCCAAGAAAGGCAGGGAGGGGCCACACATGTGCTGCCATCCCCCATCACACAGTTACCTCTCCTGTTTCTCTCTTTCCCAGGACCCCAGTGCCATTTGGAGGACCCCTCGTGGGGGAGACCATTCCCCGGGCAGGCACCCCCTTTGTCCCAGAGCCTTTCAGTGGCTTGGAACTCCTCCGCCTCAGACCCAGTTTCAACAGGGTTGCTCAGGGCTGGGTCCGAAAGCTCCCAGAGTCTGAGGAGCTGTAACCTCAGCCTGAAACTGCTATTCCCCAGGCTTGGGGCTCAAGGAATATCTGGAGCCAAGTCTATACACAACACTTCACAGTTTATCTTGACTTTCTCTTTTTTTCCCTTCCTTCCCTCCCTCCCTCCCTCTCTCCCTCCCTCGCAGACCCAGTTTCAACAGGGTTGCTCAGGGCTGGGTCCGAAAGCTCCCAGAGTCTGAGGAGCTGTAACCTCAGCCTGAAACTGCTATTCCCCAGGCTTGGGGCTCAAGGAATATCTGGAGCCAAGTCTATACACAACACTTCACAGTTTATCTTGACTTTCTCTTTTTTTCCCTTC